AAAGAGTTGTACAATTCCACTATTCATTCACTCTCACATTCACACACTGGTGGAGACAATGAGGTGCAGTTGTTGGTGTGAGTAACACAAAAGTACAAAGTTGCAAAAGGAGTGAGAATTATAGAATTTAAGGAAAAGCTATCTGGAGCATGTACAGACTGATATTAATCTTTGATAGGGCTGTCAAAATTGAGAGCAAACAAAACAACTGCTGCATAATGCCCTCCGCTATCTTAGTTTAATTGGTCACATGACTGCATCATATGACCAACATGTGTCATCATTTTATGAAAGTCTGCGTTTTCACTGTCCACACTGTGACGCGAAAGCACCGTCTTCAAATAGTATTCGTTTTCGAGTGCGTTTTCAGAACGCGGTGTTTTCGTCTCAGTGTGGACGGGAGGCCAAAACGGAGAGAAAACGATGCGTGTTCAAATGAAAATGCATTAGTGTGGACGTAGCCTTAGTGTAGATTGACTCCTCATGTGGCCCACAGCTAGCACTAAATGTTGTAAGTTAAGTTGAGCTTTTTAATATAGTTTCTTTAGACCTTTGCAGAACTGTGTTCTAATAAAATCGATTAAAATCATTTATCTATCTAAGTTTCAGTTGTTTTTATCAGGTTTTCCCATTTTCAGCATCTCCAGCACTGTCTTTAAATATTAGATTTTTTACAATTTGTTTTTGTGAAATCGACTACTATAATCAGTCTATTACACTTCTACCTTCTAGTCCCTAAGGACACCAAAGCGCTTATACATTCAGTCATCCACACACTGGTGATGGCAGCTACATTGTAGCCACAGCTGCCCTGGGGCGCACTGACAGAGGCGAGGCTACCGGACCCTGGGGCTACTAAGCCCTCTCTGACCACCAGTAGGCAACAGGTGAACTGTCTTGCCCAAGGACACAACGACCAAGACTAAACCTTCCGTTTACAAGGCAAACTCCCAACTCTTGAGCCACGAGCGTGGATATGTATTTGGTGTTTCTGCAGAATACCAAATGTAACAAAAAATGTTCTGAGATGTTTCCAGCAAGTTCAGTAACCTTTAAAATTGAAGACTTGCTGAAGTTGAAGACAGAGAATCTGAAATATTCATTTTCAATTCCACCTCTCTGCCTCTGGCCCATCATTACAATATACTACTACGTCTTTAATCATCAGCATATTACTATTCTTAAACTGTCATTATGAGTTCCAGTGTAGTGCTCTGTCACTTAGTCACTTCTGTTTTATAATAAATGCTGACGAGTTTCCAGAATGAACATCTTTCCTCTGTATCATAAGTCATGTGGTTCCTTAGGCCCCCTCAAATCAGGAAGTGGTAAATCTTTTCACCTATGCACAAGTTTTCAAATATGATATTCGTGGCATTTTTGACAGTCTTTCTTTATATTGCTTCCTTTCCAAACATGTTGCATGAGTATAAAAACTTTGCAAACTTGTTCTTTGTTTCCATGTTCTTTCTTTTTTTAAATACTAAAAAAATACAGGCATAAAACAGAGGTACAAAATGACTACACTAAAACTGCTAAGGAGTGCAAAGTGACCACAGACAAAAAACATGCAGATGCAAAATCAAGAAATGCAGAAAACATGCAAAATATAAAGTTTGGGTTTGGAAATACAACAATAAAAATAGGTGCCATGTATCTTTAAATTAAACCACATCATTTTCTGACTGAAGTTTGATCTCTAACCACCTCAGCCATCTTTCACTCTATATACATAGCATTCCTTCATTGACACAATGCTTCATATTATACACAAAAAGGACAGATATGGAGTCAAAAACTCTTGTGTGTAGTCCATGTCTGACTGTATGGTGGTGATGTCTCAGGCTAGGTTCACTACACCCCACAGCCACAGGATCTGTAGTTCTGAACCTGGAGGACAGAAAGCCTTGTTGGCAGTGGGATACAAGTTGATGAAATCACTGGTCATTGGACAGGATGAGTGCCATAAAATAGTAGAAAGAAGCCTAAAACGTGTAGTCTAACAAGGTTTACTGCAGTTCACAAAGAGGATTTTCTTCTTTTCCTTTGCTGCTTTACACACTCACCAAACATCGCTCTGACTGTTGCTTGTCACTATTATGCTCTAGCTTCGTGGCTGTCATCCAAGCACAACACACTATGGTCCCCGTGTGATACTGTGTGATAATGACATCATCCAAGTAGGCAGTGGCATATGCAGTGTGCGGACACAGCACCCTAGAAAGTACTGGGGCTCTGAAAAAGCCAAAAGTAAGGTTGACAAATTGGTATTAACTGTACAGAGTGCAGTTTATAAATAGTCTCTGTAGTCTCCGGAGATAAGGCAATCTACCAGCAGCCCTTGGTTAAAACCACTATCTTGAAAAAGCCAGCGGTTATTCACCAGTCCAGGTGATAGCTGACCAACTGAACTGTGAGACCTCATTATTCTTGCTGTAGATTGAACACACAGAACTGTATAGGCCTGTGTTTCTTTACTATAAGAACTGTGCTTTTGTGCATGACCCTCATGACTCTTGGTTGCAACTGGAATCTGTTGTGGAGTAAATTGTCTCGTAATCCCTGGATTAATGGGTCAATCACTGGTGCCGCCACATGATCCCAAACAGACCTTTATAGGTGCTTTTAAACTGAGAATGTTAAAACATGCAGGGTAATTAACATCTGAGTGATTTTCCTATGGTGCTCATATGTGTGCATTGCTTAGTCTTTCACATGCTCACAGCTAGGCATATTGTAGTATTTCTTAATATTCACCAGCTTTCATGCAAAATAAAGTTCGTTTTGTTTGTTTTCCTGAGACTGAATTGGTGACTTAAATGTCAGTAAAACTGAAACTCTGCACGGAAACTAGAAAGATGAAGATTAGCACTGTAGTACGCCAACACTATCCACCATCAGTCTGTGGTAACAACAAAGATGATGATGAAAGCAGGTCACTGCTTTCATAGCTGAGAAAAGAGAAATTCGAATCAAACGGCTGTTTTAACTGTCTCTGCACACCAGCCAAAATAGGAAACTGCACTCAGGCCACTGATTCACATCGAGTGCTGACTGAACATTTTTTTATTTTGTGTTTATTTCTGTTCATTTAGAAATGGTAGCAATGGTGGTGTGGTGTTATTCTTGTGTGCACAGAGCAGTTGTATTGTTACAATATTGGCAGAAATGTTTTTAGGGTAAGGTTTGAAAAATGTACATGACCCACTTCCTAGTGGAAGTTGAGTAACAATCAACCAAGTGGAAATAAGCTTAGTGACAGTTAAATCACTTCTATGAACTTAATCTTTAATTATTTTTTTAATGTATTTATTAGTTTGCTTTTTTTTATTTAATTGGAAAACTGACTATGGATGAAGTTTAGCAGCTTCCTCAACTGTTCTCATTAAGAAGAACAATAAATAAGTCCTGTGTTACTGGCCATCCTACATTAAACAAAGAAGACACAGAGAATAGCATCCTAAAGACTAGTGTCAGTGAAATACAGCTGCAATAAGTAGCTCTGCTGTGGTTGGAGCAGACAGGTTATGGGCAAGCTGACGAGCAGGAGCAGGCATATATTTGCTACAGCAGGGCTGTACCCACATAGCAAAATTGGTATGGCCCAGATCTGGCCCACACAATATGCTTACACATGGCCCACATACTGCAAAGAATGACGGCCCTTTGGTGGGCCAGATCAGGTTTGCCAGAGGTGGCCCACACATGGGCCAGCACAAGGCCAGACACACTGGTGGTCCTTTGCTGGCCCATGTGTGGATTACCTCTGGCAAACCTGGTCTGGGCCACCAAAGGGCCGTCGTTCTTTGTTGTATGTGGACCATGTGTAATTTGTGTGCAGCCATGGGTCAGTTCCAGACACACTTCTGGTCCAGAACAGTTTCAGCTCTGGCCCCAGATGTCAGCCTAATATGTACCTTATTCAAGCCATGTAAAAACAACATGTGCCGGAACATAATAGTGCAAAAGTAACACGACAAAACTGTTCATACAGTGAATAGACTGATTCTTAAATGGCACTTTTCTACTCTACATAGCAGGGTGTATGTCAACCAGATGTGGGCCAGGTCTGGCAATGATGGTACTATTTATGTTCCTGTTTTCCTATTTTAGATAGAAGACTGAAATGCCATGTTGCAAAACTATACTGCTATGGTAGCCAACGTTTCAAATGCAGGTTTGTGAGTGTACACTTTATCTAAAACCTAGTGAGGGTTTACTCATGTTTATCACTGGGTGGCTGTAGCTCAGGAGGCAGAACATCCTTCAAGGTTTTTCTTTGTTTGTTTGTATCCCTGTGTGTGCAGCCGTATCAAACAGATGGAGTGATTGAATGCTCTTTTCAGTGGTGGAATGTTTTGGCCTGATTTTTTTTAACTTGACTGACAAAAAATAATTGGAGATTATCTATCAGAATTTCAGGAGCAGGACCACGCCTCCAAACACGCTCCTTCCGGTTGTCATCTATATAGGTTCCCCCAGTTCTGCAAGCTGTTCATTCTCATCTACGTGCCCCACCCTCCCTCACTCCTTGTTTTCCATTCGTTAACTTCTTCATTTCTATTTAGTGCATTGGGATCTGCCAGGCCCGGGAGCCATCACCAGTCTCCTTCAAGGCCTTCCCCAAACCACAGCTCAACTCATGTCAAAGCATTCACTTTTACCTACTAAAACAATATCAAACCTAAATAAGACTTGGGCCCAGCTAGTGAATAATAAATTAAAAAACATGGATGTTCGACTCTTTGAGTGTCAGGAGCAGCTGATCCTTTTGCGCCCACTTCTCTGAGTAAGAAGCTCCTAGTGGCTGAAGTCAAGCTCTCCAACTACTACAGTAACTGCTTTGACCTCTATTAGAAACTCTTGATGATGACTCAAATAAAAGTGTATCATATTGGCTCATGCACTGGTGGAATCATGCACAATTCTGGGAAATTACTGGGAGATATGTTTATTGTCTTCTGTGAGTAGACAAGAGTAAACAAGGCTAGAAAAAAATATTTGCTCAATAATACAAAAGTTTATTTTTTTATATTATTTTTTGCTGCCAGAATGTGCTTCACATCAACACATAATACAAAGAAAGAAATTCATGAATAAGCAAGAAAGACAAAAACAAAGGAAGTCAAAAAGTATCCATTTGAAAACAGCTGGTCCAAAAAAAGACTAAAGCCGTCACCTAGAATAAACAATAGGATTATTCAACAGGTTAGAGTAAATGTAAATGAAAGCAGAAAGAAACAGTTACATTAAGAAAGCACTCGAGTTAAAATACGTTTTTAAAGGTGATCTCAAAGGAGACAGGCAGTGATGCTTCACCAGAGAACTTCACTTCACTACACCTTCGTCATGTGGGCAGTGACTGAGGAGGAAGGAGAGACAAAGGGAGCTTCAGATTTTCTCTGCAAATACTTCTCATGTGTTTGTGTGTTAGCATAACTTACGCTGCTTGACCCACTGAGCGTTAGGATCAGCACAAAGTTGTCCTCTGTTTCCTGTGTTGAAACTGTAAATAAAAGACAGAAGGTTATACAGATTGTATGTTTGTATGTAGGACAACGTGCTGACTTACATTATAGCCTTCACACAGGGTGGTCTTGCAGCCTGCTCACGATATGTTTCCCCCACCACCTCGACGCTCTTATTCATGTAGGTGACGTCAACGCAGCACGGTCGTCTCTTTCCAGGATGAGCTGGAACTGAGAGGTAGGAGGTTAAAAATTTATTCATACAACCTGAGAAAGTCTGATTAGAAGGAAAATCAAAGTTTTACAGATTTTCATTAAACTGTCTCACACTTGGGAGCCATCTTGAAACTCTTTTTTTAGGACAGTTTGGTGATAAACAAACAAAACAAACATAAATTCAAATTTGCAACCCACAGATTTGAAAGCAGATGGGCTGAGTGCCATGTTTCTCACATGTGTCTCTGACAAAAAATGGACTCTGTTTAAAATTGTCTGAGGTGTTTGTTATGAGAATCACAAACAATCAGAAACTTTCAATAAATATAGAAGAGAGAGTTCACCAAATTTTTGAAACTTTTAAAAGGATTCATTTTCACTTTGTCTTTAACTAAATAAATAACTCATTTTGCACATCAAACTGAAACATAAACAGTTGGGAGCCGTCGTCTCCATAGGGTACGGTGAGGCTCTTCACAAACAGCCAGGAGCCAACATCAGAAATTGTAACTGCTGTTATCAATTTGATATATTTTATCTCTTTTTTCCTTTAGAAAAGTAAGAGCATAGTTACCTTCAGAGGAGTGGCAACACACACATATTGAGAGCAGGAGGAGCGTGATGGAGAGAATCTTGACTGACATTTTTACCGGTGGTCCGGCTGACTGATCAGGGTGAAACTGAGTTGATTCGTGTTTGGTTATTTATTGGTAAGTGCAGGAACATCTGCAGAGTGTTTCTGTGCATTTGTGTGGTGTGTGGTACATAACATGTCTGCCTGTTATCAGATTTTAATATTTCAAACCACCAACGTCTCTGAGAACTTTCTGAGAAACAGCCTCACTCAACATTCACAGGCACTTAAATATGGTGTTCAGCCTGACGAATGATGACTGACTAATTTTTGTTTTTCCATTTTAACTGACAGTGGCTGCTGACCTCTTGCAGTTAAATGGAAATTAAACAAACCCATCCAGCAATTTTTGTAATGCACAAGTCAGGTCTGAAGTGAAATTAAAAGTAGCTGTTAATGCCTCTTAACATCATTTGTTAACTGACTGACCTCTGGCTGCTCATTTTTCCAGTTTGTTTGCAGGAGGAGGAAAAGGATGGAGCAGTTAAGAACATTTCCTTTATATTTATCATACAAAAAAGACAAGAACACTGCATCCAGGATGGAAGCATGTGCATTCATCTTTGCTTTGTCTTGTTGGCTTTATGTTCAAACATAAAAACAAAAAGAAAGACCATATGTGTGCCCTTATTAGTATATGGATTTGTGTTGGTGTGTGGAACTATAGCCTAAGGTTTATATTGTTAACTGGCAATTAGGAGACGGTCGAGTGTCAAACAGGTTATATAAATAAAATACTCAATCCTCAAAAAATGTTGCCAACTGTTGTGTTTAAACATCTGCAGAATATGAAATATAACATACCGAGATGTTTCCAGCAAGTCAAAAGTAAAGACTTGCTGAACCTGATGACACAGAATCTGGAATATTCATTTCTACTTCCACGTCTCTTCCTCTGGCTCATCGTTACAATATTACCCCGTCATTCATCAACATATTACTACTGTCAGACTGCCTGGATGAGTTCCAGTGTAGTGGTGAGTTACTCAATCCCTTGGCTTTTTCTAATAAATGCTGACATGACTTT